AATACTTTCAAAACAAGCATTTTTCTTTTAATTGCAGGAATGGTCAACATCTAATATACAACTTTACTTAATTATTATAAATAAAATTATGCATTTATTAAGTACGAAACTGTTTTCAAAGGTGGGGATCTTCACACTTTCTTGAATCTCCGTACGATAATGAGGATGCCCACTTTTTTACTGACTTTATACATAGTCAGCACATGTTTGTCTATTGTTCTCCATTTAACAGTGGTTGTATATTTGCATTAATAATGTTGTGTTAAAAGAAAATTAATAGAAAAACATATGCTTATGGTTTAAAGAGAAAAAAACTGCTTCTTCTTACTTTTGCTTTATCTGTTGTAACCAAGGGCTGTGACAAGTTTGGTCCAGGTAGGACTTATAGTTACTTGGGAATGGACCTGCTACAAAAACTTTCACTTGGTCACTCATCTGGAAAATCTAGGTCAGATCCAGTATCTGAAGTAAGTGTGGTACTGACCATCCCTAGATGCATCATACATGCAAGTTTGGTCCAGGTAGGGCTTATAGTTACTTAGGAATGGACCTGCTCCAAAAACTTTAACCTGGTCACTCATTTGGAAAATCTAGGTCAGATCCAGCATCTGGCCTGGAGGTTATAAAACTTTTTGAGTATGTACTCTGTGCTCAAACTCATACTCCGTACTCCAAAACCATACTTATGCTCCAAAATTCCACTCTAAGTTGTATATAAATTTTGAGTATGTTTATGGTATCAGAGAACAGAGTTTGATTTTCAGCACGGAATATGTACTCAAAAAATTTTATAACCTCCAGGCCAGAAGTAAGTGTGGTAGTGTCCATCCCTAGATGCATCATCCACGCAAGTTTGGTCCAGGTAGGGCTTATAGTTACTTGGGAATGGACTTGCTCCTAAAACCTTAACCTGGATACCAATCACAGGGGTATAGCATAAGCTCATACCGACTTTGTTGAGGTGAACTAAAAGATGGGATATGGTGCAGCCCAATTATATGCATGTCCTCCCAACAGCCTATTTCAAATGTAACCAATAGGGGATGGCCATTGTATTTTGGGATAGCAAAGAGATTTTAAACAAGAGGCATAATGGGCCTTAATTGTCACCTGAATATAAAACATTGTTAAGAATCTATAGCAGCATATAAAACAAAACAAAATAATCTGGTACATGAAGCTATGTAGCCCAAAAGCAAGGGAATTGGATGATCATGCAGGGATCAACAAAATAATTAGTCTAATATTCAGTAACACATTTTAAAGTACACATGTAAATTTATTTTTTTTGCCTGTACTTGCCCCCATTTGTCATGATCACCAATCTGACTACACAAAACAATAGTGCTTAAGCATTATTAGAACCAATCTCATTTCCTCTCACATTGGATTTTCTTGTTCTTTAAAGAATAAAGATAAGGCAGGGTTGTCCCTAGGAAATCAAAATAGCAGGGGATTTAAAAAGTAGAAGGGGTCTGGGGTTCCTCCATTAACAGGGTGGTGAGGGAAAATACCAGATTACCCTGGGAATTACAACATTATAGACAGGGAAATTCCCCGGCCCCCGGGTCTTAGGGACAACCCTGGATAAGGTATTATTGTCTTTTTATTAATCTATTATTTACAACTCTATCTGAACATTAAAGACTATGAAAGTACTCTTTGTATTATTCTTTTAATAAAAATTCTTGTTTAATTCTCTTATTCAATTGACCTTTCCATTACATTATCAACAGTGATTAATCATCATAGGTAATTAACAGAGGTCTGTCCAACACCAGAACACTTGACCTAGTGGTCCAGAATTTAAAAAATCTGGTAAAAATATCTTTGCTTAGTACAACTTTGTACTCTTGTTTTTGCTCCCTAGATGCTCAGGAGTAAAGAAGAAGATTTTCAAAGAATAATGCATTTTCACCATAATAGATTCAACATAGCCCCACCCTTACACCAGAACCTGACCCTGGGGCCATAAAAGTCATAATTTTGGAAGAGGCACCCTTTCTCATCATAACCATGCAATTGTTTTGTTTCCTCAATATACCCAGAAGCAGAGAAGAAGATTTTAAAAGAAATAATGCATTTTCACTATAAAATCAAAAGAGGCCCCTTCCAGTATTTCTGAGAATTCAATGAATTTGGTGGTTGTTTGCCTTGTATTTTAAAAAATATTTTACAATATATGCTCTAAGATTTAATAAAAATCGATTTCAATAAACAAAAAGAACAGTTTACATTTATCAGAAAACAGTTTACTGGGTAACTGAAAAAAACTCGTAGTGTTGCATGTGATGTTTTGAGCAAATAAACATGGCGCTGAAGGAGTTGCCTATTCCTTTAGTATATATACAAGTATATGCATGTTCTTGATATGACTTAACATGGCTTTCCTATTCTCGAGAAGAAAACTTCAAATTAAAAAGTTTTGGGAATTTATATACAAGGGTATAATTCCAAGGAAAACCAAATACTTATACTTAAAAATTTTCAGTTGTAATTATAGTGTCTCGGGACAAGCTCTCACCACAGTTAGCCTTCCAAATACCCGCAATGTAGCAGAAAATTGCAGAATCACTCCAAAATAATTTTGGAGCAAATAAATGAAGTTGCATTGAAAATAACCATCAAATTAATCATAACAAGCCTTTTTGAAATTGTGAATACCTTTTATACAAAAAAAAAAGGAATCCATATAATGGAAGAATTCAACATTTTTTTCTCGACTTTTTTTACTTGTTTCAAATTTACACACACACCATGTTAACATTCAGAACTCTCTGGATTGTTCATAGTGTATTCACCAAGTTAAGATTTATCTCTGACCCATGTTTTTTTGCTATATTGGCAATACTTAACGCATTCTATTGTTAAACCAGGTCCATAGGACATTTATCATTTTAACGATTAGAATATTCTATCTAACTTAGGTAGTGTACAGGTCCAGTATAATCGGTACATTTAGCTATGAATTACCTACCACAGCTTTATAGACTATACCTTTATTTTGGTTAATATTTCAATGCAACTTTTCACAATTTAGCTTTTTATTTAAAAAGGATAAAGAATATATTATATATATATAACTACTAATATTTATACTAAGGAGTTTTAAAAAAGCAATCCAAATTAAAGCCAAGATAGTGTGCACATTGCTGCTTTTGAACACTTTTAGGCAAAAGATGCACTCCCTTGTTTGAGTAACTGTACACTGTGACACTTTGTGTGCAGTAAGGCATAGGTAAGTGCGATTACCTCACATTGTGCTGAATTATTACCAATCAATTATCATGTTAACAAGAACTGGTCTTCTTTGTTATTTCATTCAAGAAGTAACTGTTTGGTCACAAATTAACTGTTGTATATAGCCCCAAAATTTTAGAAATGATATTGCAATTTAGTTAGAATAATCTAACTATGTCTCAGGACAAGCCCTCACCACAGTTAGAATATACTTGCAATAAAGCAAATCGGAGTGGATCCACTCTAAATAGAACGTTCTATCGTTAAAATGATATTGTCCTACAGACCCGGTTTAACGATAGAATTCGTTCCGTGTATTAGTAATGTTGCAAAATAAACACGGGTGATTACTTGTACTCTGTGCATTTTCTATGAACAATCCAGAGAGTTACGAATGTCAACATGGCGTTAAATTTGAAGCGAGCAAAAAACGTTGAGAAAATGAGTGGAATTTTCATATTTATATGGATTATTTTTTAGGTTAAAAGACATATGCCATCTCAAATAGGTTCGTTATGATTAATCTAGTAGTTATTTTAAGTGCGATTCCTTCTGTATTCTTCAAAATTATTTTGGAATGGATCCACTCCGATTTGCTACATTGCAAGTATATGGGACGTATTCTAACCGTGGTGAGGGCTTGTCCCAAGACACAGTTAGATTATTCTAACTAGATCCACTCCGAAATGATTTTGAAGAATACAGAAAGAGTTGCACTTAAAATAACTACCAAATTAATCATAACAAACCTTTTTGAGATGGTATATGTCTTTAAACCTAAAAAATAATCCATATAAATACGAAAATTCCACTCATTTTCTCAACGTTTTTTCCTTGCTTCAAATTTATAACGCCATGTTGACATTCTTAACTCTCTGGATTGTTCATAGAAAATGCACAGAGTACGAGTAATCGCCCATGTTTATTTTGCAACATTGCCAATAAACCGGGTACGTAGGACAATATCATTTTAACGATAGAATGTTCTAGCTAATTGCAATTGTGCTGAAAGAGACGCCTAAAAATAAGTGACATCTTCAAGAGTGATTTTTTATGAATTGTTTTAAAATCAGTTCAAAGTTTAAAATTATCAGTGCATCAAATTGGGTATTCTGCACATCCTGAAAAAAAAATGCTAATTTAGGAAATAAGTATAATTTAGTAGCTAAATAAAGCTACTTCGGGTAGGTTAGGTAAATAAGACTGTAGGAAATATTCAAGCAACCTAGCTAGATTTAATGATTGTACCAGACATGGTGTAGATTCAAATTCGTTTGTAAACAAGTTAAACAACCATATCAAGTGAGCAATGTAACCCCTAGGCCTCTTGTTCAATAGTCTGTATATGAAGTCTCCAACAGGTGCTGTCGTTATAAAAGATTTTTCACTTAACATCGCTGTAAATGTCCATTATCAAATAAAGTCATCTTGAACTTTTAATGCCGTCGTTGACCCACTGTCATACGTGTCGTTCTTACAGATATGTTTGACATTATTCTGAAATATGGCGGGAATGTTGATAAACAACTCTGCCGCGGAGTAATACTAAAACGTAGTAAAACTATGTGAATATTATTGAGTCAAAAATAAATAAAGTCAAGAATAAAGAACGTATAAAATAACTAAGTTTGGCTTCAGAAGATATGAATAAAAACTGAGGGTTGATAAGCTTTTCAGAGTACTATATTTTTAGTAAGTGCATCCGTTTGGTGAACTATGTTAGCGCCATATTCAACAGTTGACATGTGGTTGAAAGAAACCAAAAGACACCGTGCACTGAGTAAGAATTTGTAAACTTGAGTAATATCACTGCTGATATAACTTATACAATTGTAAAGCATGCAGACTTCTTCAATATATTATTGTTTTGCTTACCAAGGTAGGCCTACTGGAAAACTATTAAATCGAGGCTTCAATATTTATTACTCGCAGCGGGTATCACACAGCAGGTTATATGTTGAGAAAGGTAAGGACAATAGGACAATTGCAGTATTGTAAACAAGTTAAACAACACTTAAGTGATGCAAATTATTTCGTCAAAAACATTCTAAGGGTAAGTTAAAAACATTGTTTTAGCAGTGTAATTGTTGCTTTGTAAAATTGGTCGCTGTGAGCACGCACAGATGGACGCATTCCGTTTTCTGACAACCCCCGCCCCTTCCCAGTAAGTTACAAAGATCCAATTTACAAACATCTTTCGTTCACAAGATCTCCAAATCGATACAAATTTGAATAATTGTTATCTATTTACTGTATTTCAGTTAGATTTTAGAAGTGTTGCATTTAACAGGTCTGGTACAATCACTAGATTTAGCTACTTAGCTTGAATAACCTACATAGCTTTATTTACCTACCTGAAGTAACTTTATTTAGCTACTAAATCAAACTTATTTCATTAATTAGCATTTTTCCCAGAAAGTGCAGAAAATTGCACTTTGATGCACTGATAATTTTCAACTTTGAACTCATCTGAAAACAATTCATGAAAAATTCACTCTTTTTCTGCGCAATTGCAATCAAAGTTCTAAAAGTTTTTTGGGCTATATACAACAGTTAATTTGTGACCTAACAGTTACTTCGGAGTTCTTGAGTGAAATAACAAAGAAAACCAGTTCTGGTTAACATGAGCACAATTTGAAGTAATCACATACTTATCCACACCTCATCGCACACAAGGTGGTGTACAGTTACTCAAACAATGGAAATGCATCTTTTCCTTGAAAGTGTTCAAATGCAGAAGTGTTAAAATATCCCTGCTTTAGATTGTTTTTTAAATGATACTTAGAATAAATATTAATAGACATTTACTTGTAATTTTTTTGTCTTTTTAAAATAAAAAGCAAAATTGTAAAAAGTTGCCTTGAAATAGCTAATTTAAGCTACCTCAGGTAGGTAAATAAAGCTACGGTAGGTAAATGTACTGATTGTACTGGACCTGTTTAAATACACTGCAGGCCTTTCAAAATGTGCTGGTACTTTTACCCTGCTGAAATTATCAATGTACCGTCCAAAATATTTGTTGGAGAAAAGTTTGATAACATATTCAGTTAAAATGGCTTCCACAAGGTACCTCCTATTTTTGAAAAAGTACCGCCTGTTTCTAATCGTTTCGAAAACCCTGACAGTGATGAACATTGAAATGATAAAATTAGCTGTGTGAATGGAAGGTTTTGAACTTACATAATGACACATCCATTTCTTCAGAAATACTTTTTTTCTCAGAACTGCTGGGGTCGTCCTATTTAACGAATCGACCTATCTAAGGCTCAAGTTTACGAAAAATGCCTCCAAATCAGTAAAATTTACGTCAATTTTAAAGCAAATCTGTGCCATTTTCGTATTTTTAAAGATGATTTTACCGGGGAAAAAATAATAAACAACAAAGAATTAAATATTTATTCCATTGATTTCTTACAAAATAAGTTCCATTAAATATCCGTCGATGTACAAAAAAAACTTATTACCGGTATATCATCTAGTAATTAATGTCTCAAAGTATATTTACAACATGCTGTGTCCATCTTGTGAAGTTGGAAGTCGCAATCGTTTACTAAAAAGAAAACCGCAGCCGTATCACAATTTAAAATACAGAAGAGTTTAAAATCGCAATTGTAATTCTTTTTTACCATTTATTTGTAACGATTAATTGAAATAGTATGCCTAAATATTTGTTCATTGTCTTGTGATATTTATTTAAATGTAAAATGCATGAAGTAAATTGTTGCGAGTAAATTCTGAAATTTATTTACCAAATATACCGCTAGTAATAACTATTTTGTTTTATATCTTAATTAGTTATAATAAAACGAACTTATCTTGAATATACTATTATACGTTTTTGGAAGTTATAAATTCATTTATTTACAATACGTTATTTTTTATTCACAGTTTTTTTGTTTTTGTTTTACAAAATAAATATTTTTTTAAATGATAGAATTGAAAGCTTCCTCGTACCCAAGGAGTACACTGAATTATACAAAGACTGGCTTCTAATAGAATTTTAATTGTTTGACAGATAAAGGGATATACACTGTGTACACAAAGGTGTTAACACCAGTGTTGGTTAAAACACCTGCGGGGCATGATTAACAGATCCACGTGCCGTTACAGGGGTATTAGTGCTATACATCATTGAACCGACAATACTGTGAAATTCTTGATGACTGTTAAATTGCAAATGTACTCTCAATTAAATTTATTTTTTACAACAATATCTCATGCAAAATTATAGCATGTTAATATGATTAATTTCATTTGCGCACTGTTACATGTAATAGTCATTTGCGTGTTTTAGCAAATCCCTGCACAAGAAAATATAAAAATGGCGGTCATTGAAGTTAATTTTTTACCCCGGTAAATAATGTCGGAATAAAAGAATGTGTCCACGATGTTCTAAAATGGAAATGATTATTGTTTCATTTCGGGTATTTCCCTAATTATAGCTGTTTTATACCACCATATTTATGTGTTTAACGACAGAGTCAAATTACAACGGCATTGAACAGGCAAGTTGGAGAAAATACGTTATATCACAATTCTAGGAAGTTTTAACTACATTTGTATAGAACACTATTAAAATACTGTACTCATAAAAATACTAGTTTATTTTCTCAATACGTTAATATCACGGGTTAAGTTAAAGAGGTTTACAAGTTCTGATACGTAGTATCCAGGGATGGGGTAATCGTAATCGAGTAATCGTAATCGATTGTAATGATTACTTTTTTTCAAGTAATCGACAGTAATCTGTAATCGAAGAGATTTTCGATTACTTGTAATCGTAATTTAATCGATTACAGCTAAAATTTTCAATGTAATTATAATTACTTTTTCGATTACTTTCGATTATTTTATATATAAAATGGATGTTATTTTGGAGAATTATTTCTTGTCATTCACACACAAATATCAAATATAAACAACCTAGTGTAATGTTTGGATTACCTAACTTTTATTATCATAAGTTTAATAATGTTCTCAATAAAATTTGCATTATAGACCTACTGGTCTAGTATTAAATAATTCAGAAGTGTATTTCAACTATTTATTAATAAAATATATAGATTTTTTGTATGCATTTTACATTTGACCCATAGTCCTCTTGCTGCATGTCCTTTTTCATATTTCAAATACTGGAAAACTTTGTGGTTGTAATAGAAAATTATAAATAGCAAAAACAGATTTAAGTGCTGTATTAAATATAAATAATTTGGTAAATAAACTACATTGTACTTGAAAAAAAGAAGATGGAAATACTTATTCATATCTGAAAATGTTTAAACAACTTCAAACTTGTTGTTTTAGTGACTTTAAAATTGGCAAAATCATTCTCATGTTTTCAGTCAAAATTGTAAGGTTTCTTTTGTATCAGTGAGGGGTTATAAGTGTCTGTAAGAGAGGGAGTGTGTCACTTGTGTTTGCTTATCTTGGTTATTTAATTGACTGAGACATCCCTGATTTGCAGATAATGAGGTGTAAACTGTGAACTACCTAGTATTTAACTTTTATTATTCGTAGTTCTATTGAAGACAAACAATATTATTGAAACAATTAATAGCTCTCAAAACACTTATTTCAATACAGAATGAAATTGTGCTATTAGTTTAATTACTTAAAGACGCATTTGATTTACATGTTTATTACTAAGAGTTCTAATTTACTTATTTTTTTTTGAAGAAGACACAAGAATGTTTAATGTGTACTGTCAACATACGGGCAGCCCAAATACTTCTAATGAAGTTATTCACAATAAAATTATTTTATAATAAATAATTTTTGCAACAAGTCAAATCTGAATATGGAGGTTCAGATCCAAGGTTGAAAGGAATAATTAATTCCTTGACATATTTTATTGTAGGAATCATGTCTCCACTTTTCATGGCACAGAATCCCTCATTAGGGCATTTAGTGAGAATGTTAGCCAGAATAAAACCTTAAAAGAATCTGCACTGAAACTGCAGAACACATTCAAACTTCAGTGGAATATATCATCAACATTACCATTTAAATATTGCTTTGATATTTGAAGGGATAAAAACTTGGGAGTAATCGATTATTAATCGATTACATCTTCCAAAGTAATCGATTACAATCGATTACAGGACAAAAATGAGTGTAATCGATTAATAATCGATTACACAAAATTCCTCTAAGTAATCGATTATTAATTGATTACATTTTTCAGTAATCGTGCCCATCCCTGGTAGTATCTACGTAAGAATCTCTAGAAATCGATAAACAAAGCCTCGTCCTATCTTCCGAATTCATCCTATCTAAGGATTTTTCAAAAAATGCGGCTGAAAATGAGCCTTTCGACCTATACATTCCATCGACATATACCCCAAAACTTACGGTACGCATGAAGCTGGCTTAAACCAGCTTTATTGAAAGTGATATGATAGCGGCTGTTGAAGTTTAGAACCTTAAAAATGGTAAAGCTGCAGGGTATGATAACATTATAAATGAACATATTTATACAACGTTGTCATCTTATTTACCTGTATGTAAGAAGGTCTTTAAAATATTTTTGATAGTGGGTTTGTTCCAGATAAGTGGTTAATCAGTATTGTCAGACCAATTTATAAGAATAAGGGCGATCCAAACCCAGCCTGAAAATTACTGTCCTTGGCAAACTGGAGAAACTGACATGATGCACGTTTATAAATTTATTAAATAACGATCCAGACTTTTATTTTAAACATCAATCCCGCTCTAAAAAGTACGCATGCAAACATCTGTAGTATTCTGAATAACTTCTCGGAACTCCTCGGATGGCTTGTACATCACACAAAGAGAACATAAACACCTTTTTGTCATTTTTTGAAGTTTTTTATTTTAATAATTTACATCTTACTTTTTTCATATTGGGAATTTTTAGGTATAATTTTGGGGAAAACATGCACTTTTCAGCATTGGAATGGGGCCGAATTTTGGCCCCGGAGAGACCCTAAAAAAATCCCTGGCCAATGCTATGTGCCATTGCTCTGATGTCATAGGTGTCAATCCTGGTCAAGCAAAGTACTTCTTGTGTATACAAAACGGCTTATTTGTTGTGTCTATTAAGCCTGTTAGTAAATAAATAAGTGATAATTGGATAATTGACAGCTAGTGCGGTATAATTTGTGGGTTAAGTATTCACAAATGTGCACAAGAAAGGTTTTAGGAAGACTTATTACACATTTTCTGGACTTGGTCGAGAGGTGAAAGGGGGCCCTTTTTTCTGCAAACGAGAGGGTTTTGTCTCCATTCAGAATAATTGTTTATGCCCGATCACTATTTTTCTCTGTACTATAAAATATTTTTAGGACCTTTTCAAAACGGATAAAAAATACCCAAAACGCATTTTTATATTCGCACAGAATCTAGTACATGCTCGTAGGAATGTTGTAAACTTTGTAATAGCGTACGGTGCCATTGAATACTGTTGAAGAAATGTCATTTCTAGTACATGATATTCACTGGAACAGATAGAAGATATACAGGATTTATTTATATAACTATTTATTAAAATACTGAAGAAGTTAAATTTAAAATTCTCATATATATAAATATTTACGAAGTCAAAACTCAAGCTATCAGTTCTATCTAGTCAAAGTCCCGAGGTTGTCAACGGCTTCGTCTTCAGTGTCCTCTCCTATTATGGGTCTATTGTTTTGGTTATTTCTCTCTGCTAGACGTTCATGCATGCAAGATTGACCGTCCATAACCAAAAGAATATCGTCGATGTCAAAATTTCCACCGACCTTATTGTGTAGCCTATTTATTTAACATCAAAATCTATTTAATATATTTTTCTTAAGATAAGCTTTACGTATCTAATTGACCATTGACACCTATGACGTTTCAGTACCACGTGACCCCTATCTATTTGGTGGAGATTTTACTTTGAGAACTCTATATTATGGGCGTTTTATCACCTAATTATGACTGTTTTCAATATTATTTAATAATTAAACGATAATTATATGTTTCAAAAATATAACAGTGTTTCATTTTTAAGAAATTTAGATACATGATAAAAACCCTTTATTGTGGTAAGGCCAAAAAAATAATAGTCTTGTTTCATGCTACCCGACCGACCCTATTTTTTTGCACCCGACCTTAACGTGGTTTTTTTTTTTTTTTTTTTAGATTTTGGGAAAAAAAATCTGGAATTTCATGCTCCAAAACTGAAAAAAAATATATTTAAGTGGTATTTCATGAGATTCCATGTTTTAAATATGGACTTTCATAAAATACCACTTGATTGTGCATCAAGACTTGAAATTTTATTTTAAAAGATAATAATGACCTATGACATGTTTAATTTGGTTTTGTATTAGTTCATATCCAAAAAATACCGTTGGAAAAAATAAAATGAAATACCGTAAGTTTTGGGGTATATGTCGATGGGTTATATAGGTCGAAAGGCTCATTTTCAGCCGTAATTTTTAAAAAATCCTTAGATAGGACAATTTGGAAGATAGGACGAGGCTTTGTTTATCGACTTTTTAGAGATTCTTACATAGTTACTACGTATCAGAACATGTAAAGGTTTTTAACTTAACCCGTGATATTAACGTATGAAGAAAATAAACTGGTATTTTTATGAGTACAGCATTTTAATAGTGTTTTATACAAACATAGTTAAAACTTCCTAGAATTGTGATATAACGTATTTTCTCCAACTTGCCTGTTCAACGCCATCGTTGTTTGACTCTGTCGTTAAACACATAAATACGGTAGTATACAACAGCTATAACTAGGGAAATACCCGAAATCAAACAATAATCATTTCCATTTTAGAACATCGTGGACACATTCTTTTATTCCGACATTAAGTGCGATGACCGCCATTTTTATATTTCTTGTCCAGGGATTTGCTAAAACACGCAAATGACTATTACATGTAACAGTGCGCAAATGAAATTAATCATATTAACATGCTATAATTTTGCTTGAGATATTGTTGTAAAAAATAAATTTAATTGAGAGTACATTAGCAATTTAACAGTCATCAGGAATTTCACAGTTTTGTTTGTTCAATGATGTATAGCACTAATACCCCTGCAACGGCACGTGGATCCGTTAATCACGCCCCGCAGGTGTTTAAACCAACAGGTGTTAACACCTTCGTGTACACAGTGTATATCCCTCTATCTGTCAGACAATTAAAATTCTATTAGAAGCCAATCTTTGTATAATTCGGTGTACCCTTTGGGATATAAAACAGAATAGTTATGACTAGCGGTATATTTGGTAAATAATTTTAGGAATTTACTGGCAACTTTATTTCACACATTTTACATTTAAATAAATATCACAAGACAATGAAAAATATTTAGGTGTAGTATTTAAATTAATCGTTACAAATAAATGGTAAAAAAAAAATACAATTGCGATTGTGAAAACTCCTCCGTATTTTAAACTGATACGGTTGCGGTTTTATTTTTAGTAAACGATTGCGACTTCCAACTTCACAAGATGGACACAGCATGTTGTAAATATACTTTGAGACATTATTGATGATATAATAAGTTTTTTTGTACATCGACGGATATTTAATGAACTTTTTTTGTAAGAAATCAATGGAATAAATATTTAATTCTTTATTGTTTATTATTTTTTTTCTCGGTAAAGTAATTTTAAAAAATACGAAAATGGCACAGATTTGCTTTAAAATTGACGTAAATTTTACTGATTTTGGGGCATTTTTCGTAAACTTGGGCCTTAGATAGGTCGATTCGTTAAATAGGACGACCCCAGCGGTTCTGAGAAAAAAAGTATCGTCCTATCTTCCAAAACTTACGGTAAAAAAATAAAATGATTTTCCTACCTACATGCCTACCTACCCTATTTTTTTCAGGCTGGTAGCAGGAAACAACTTTTTTTTTTGGCCTAACTTGAATAAGCAAGATAATTTCAGTTATGTACATATTCATGGAGTTTTACAGAATTGTAGAGTCTCATTCTCTCCTAACTTCATAAAATCCCTATTTAGCAAAACTCGTGTTGCTAGTCGCAGAGAGTTGGGTGTCTTGAAACATTGCGATAAATATTACTTTCTCATTTCTAAAGAAATGACTATCGATAAAAAAGACCCAAATGTTCCATTCACACACAAAAAATTAACCACTACAATGCACGATTGCATGGGTTTAATTTCATGTAAAAATGATAAATCGTAAAATTGATGTTGTTAATTTCCCAATCTGCAGTTTATAGTTTTTTGCGTGACTACAAGTACCTTTTAAAATAAATAAATAAATAAATAAAAATAAAAAACAAAGAAAAAAACTAAGGTACATTTCACTAAATTGACATTTTATAATGGAATAATTTAGAAGTTTCAAGTGTGAATTCTATGTAAATTCTCATTAAAGCTCAATTTGTTTCCCTCTCTGTGTTTCAGCAATGTGGAAAATCAATTAGCAGAAATGAACCATAATATACCAGTGTACCCTTACCAGATAGGGGATGGATATACTAAGTATTACACTCAGCCAAATTTGCCATATGTCCCATATAATTCAGGTATGTGAAATTTTAAAGAAGTGGAAATGGAGTGGGAGGGGGTGTCGTCAAGAGGTTATGACCTGTTCCCCCCTTCAACCTATTGGTAAGAGATTAAAATGTGGTACAATTCCATCTTTATAGAGGTAAATATATTCACTTCTAATGTGTGTTTAAACTAACAGGAGTGCCAGTGGGAATAAATCCTTACCAAGAAGAAAACAAGCTCCCAGCCTACCATGCTCAGTCATACACTCGAATGCCAGGTTCCTTGTCTGTTAATGCAGGGTCCAGACCTCCCCAGAATGTGGCTGCACCAACAGTGGGTCCTAGATATCCAGAAGCTTCGACTGTATATCCTCGGTCAGTTCAGTTGCTTTACAATATAAAACAATAATACCACAATGCTGCTATGTTATTATGCTCATTTAAACTTTGAGCTCACATGAGCTTTCTGGTCAAAGTTACCCAACCCATCTGTTGTAATTAACTTTTTAGCTCACCTGAGCCGAAGGCTCAAGTGAGCTTTTCTGATCAAAATTTGTCTGTCATCGTTGTTGTTGTTGTCATGAACTTTTCACATTTTCATCTTCTTCTCCAGAACTACTGGGCCAATTTTAATCAAACTTGGCACAAAGTATCCTTAGGTGAAGGGGATTCAAGTTTGTTCAAATGAAGGGCCACACCCTCCTCCAAGGGGAGATAGTTATGAAATAGCAAAAAATTAATGGCATCATTGAAAAATCTTCTCTAGAACCAATGGGCCAGGTAAGATGAAATTCATGTGGAATTATTGTCAGTTAGTGTAGATTCAAGTTTGTTCAAATCATGACCCCCAGGGGTAGGATGGGGCCACAATGGACAATCTAAGTTTTACATAGGAATATATAGGAAAAATCTTCTCAAGAACAGCAAAGCCATGACAGTGATTTTTTTTGTTTTTTAAACCACCACCCCCTCCTTTTGAATTGGGAAAAATTAGCCACATTTTCCTCAAAATGGGAAAAATCATTTATAGTAAATTAGAATGCTAAAAAATACATAAAATAATCAAACTAAGTAACAACAACAGATTTTGTTTGATTTTAACTTTGAATTTGATTTAAATTCATAAAATAATCATTTAAAAAAAATTAACATCAATATTTTATTGAATGTGAACATGGCTTATATCAGTCACATCTTGTAGCTTCTATTTTCTTGGAATTGCTTTGTCTAATTTCATAAAAAAAAAACCCCCCAAAAAAACCCAGCATTTAGACTCATAATCTAGTAAATTGTCTTATATTGATAATCAAGTTTACAGTCTTTACTGTTTGTTTTTTTCCTGATTTTAGTGAAACCCTATGTGTTGTACATTTCCTGTTATTAGCCTGACCCTCTATGCAATAATGGCGGTCAAACCAAAATCATTATGTCAACATGCAACATGACTTGTATCTGGGAACTATTTACCAATTCATTGATTATATTATAAGCTACTTATCTCCTTATATGGATATCTGCATTGTTTTACACATTCATTAAAAAAGTCGGCTGCATATGCATGGATTTGAAGAATAAAGACGTATTTCCTCTGTCAGCAAATTTAGTGACATTTGTTCAAAATTAAAATGTAATTTTCGTATGTTTGAAATTGGGAAAAATATACTAATAATTGGGAAAAAATAGCTAATTTTTGTGAGGGGAAACAGCCGAATATTGGTGGCATTTTCACCCAAAAAAATCACTGTATGATTGGTCATATTTATATGGAAGCATCCTCAGGTGGCAGGGGTTTTTTTAGGGTCTCTCCGGGGCCGAAATTGGGCCCCATTCCCAATGCTGAAAAGTGCATGTTTTTCCCAAAATCATACCTAAAAATTCCCAATATGAAAAAAAAAGTATTAAGTTGTAAATTATTAAATAAAACAATGACAAAAAGGTGTTTATGTTCTCTATGTGCGATCTACGAGCCATCCGTGGACTTCCGAGAAGTTATTCGGAATACTATGGATGTTTGCATGCGTACTTTTTAAAGCGGGATCGATGTTTAAAAATTAAAGTCGGGATCGTTATCTAAAAAATAAACGTTCATCGGTAGACAGACACCTCGGCCCAACGACACCTCGGCCCATCACGTTTGACACCTCCACCCTGACAGGTCGGCCCAAAATTATTGACACCTCGGCCCATACTGAAGACACCTCGGCCCAAGGAATTTGTTTTTTCAGAATTATTATCTGTATTCAGTATGGTTATATAAATATATGTATGTTTATAATGACGATATGTATACGATAAACAGGGGCAAATAATTTCAAAATAGATTAATGACGATAAATCTATGTCAGCTGCTGTATCTATTTAGTGGGAGATAGAAGGTCTATTTATTTATTTATTTTGTTGCTTATGAAAATGCAACTTTATTCATTTCATAATGTTAAGAATTCTTTTACTTAAAAATCACTTCGTAGTAGGGGCGTATTGGGGTATGTGTAAAACGAGAAACAAGAAACGCGAAACGAGAAACAATGGAATGTCAGATTCAGCATAAAACACCTAATGACCTTAAAATGTCAACAAAGGGGGGCAGCTTGTGCTTTTGATTTCATTTTGTTAGATAACAGATGCAGAGTGAAATGAAATATCTAACTTAGGTACCGTTCACGGTAGCTCAGTCGGTAGAGCGCTCGCACCGTGATCGGGAGGTCGTGAGTTCGAATCTCGGCCGCGACAGACCTAAGTCGATAAAAAATAGGTAGCAACTGTTCCTTCGCCATGCGCTCGGCACTTTGAAGTGAAAGTTGCGGGTCCTTCGGATGAGACCTTAAAAACCGAGGCCCCGTGTCACGGCAGGCGTTGGCACGATAAAGATTCCTCACTGCTCAATGGCCCTGAGTGCCGAGTAAAGGTCAAAATTTGAAGCCCTTCACCGGTATATGGTGACGTCTCTATATGAGTGAAAAATTCTCGAATGGGACGTAAAACAATATACAATCAATCAATCTAACTTCGGTTTATCATCGACCCGCACAACTATCTCACACACACAAAAAAAAATAATAAAATGTTGACAGATTTAATTAATACAATACTATTACCTGAAAGAAATGCTTACTCAGTTTTTGCTTAGAATAATAATGTTATCATCAAATGATACAATTTCATTGATAAACTAATTTGATGTATTTCCGTTAGGATACTATATATAATGGTCCAAATTTCTACATCAGAACTCTAACTATACCTCTGTCAAAAAGAATCAACTGTTACTGATCATTAGCTTTTTACTACCACAATGATTTAGTAGTTCTGGTAATACATGTATTATTGGTGAAATTTATTGTCAATGTTTATATAATAGTTTTCGTTACTACATATATAACAAAAATATAAATATATTATTTATAAATAATTATTCATAAATGATTATTTATAAATATATTATTTAACATTTTGTTTAGCATTTTGTTCAACATTTTGTTGATTATGTAAAATGCAGAAAATAATTTGAAGGAATCTGTCTCTTACAAATTGTGTACTTTTCAGCTGTTGATGTTTAATTAAATCTGTCATGTCTTTATGGGTTAGCAGTGCCGGATCACTGATAAATCTGTCCTAAGTTATATGTTTTAATTTCACTCAGCACTTGTTTTCTAACAAAATGAAATCAAGGCAAAAGCTGCCCCTTGGTTGACATTTTTAGGTTATTGTGGGTTTTTTTTCATGCTATTGTTTCTCGTTTCTCATTTCTCGTTTCTTGTTTCTCGTTTCGTGTTTTACACATACCCGGGCATATTGTACACATGTTAACCTCACAGATAGAAATTACGTTAACCTGATAGATCTTCGTTGCGTAATATTAGAGCATAATGGATATATTTCCCTAAACCAACCAAGGTAGATATGTGGTTTGTACCCAACAATTGGGTTAATTTAGCCTGCTCGTAATAAACTCCTAATTGTCACCACCCCATATGACACGCGCTTGAGACGCCAAAGGATGCGCCGTATTTACTCTCGGAAGATTATTCATTTATTTTCTTTTTTATTTCATGGATATATAATAATATAATCCGTTGCATTTAGTCCCTATAATAATTAATAAAATACTTCAGAATATATTAAATAAATATGTTTAAAATAAAACATTTTTGTTTGTGCCGAGGTGTCTTTTACGTGAGCCGAGGTGTCTCAAATCCTGGGCCGACCCGTCGGGGCCGAGATGTCGTTGGGCCGAGGTGTCGTTGGGCCGAGGTGTCTGACATTCCGTTCATCATGTCAGTCTCTCAAGTTTGCCTAGGACGGTAATTTTCAGGCTGGGTTGAATCGCTCTTATTCTTATAAATTGGTCAAACAATACCGATTAACCACTCATTTGGAACAAACCCACTATTAAAATGTTATTTTAAAGAACTTCTTACATAAAGGTAAAAAAGATGACAACATATAAATATGTTCATTTACAATGTTATCATACCCTGCGGCTTTGCCATTTTTTAGCTTCTGAACTTCAACAGCCGCTATTTATATAATAGTGTTATTATTTGGATGTACTATGCCGAAATAGTAGTCAGGGTTTGACACATGGTGCACGAGCCGGAGGCGAGTGCACTATGTGTCAAACCCTGACTACTATTTCGGCATAGTACATCCAAATAATAACACTATTATAATTATTATGCTGACTGTTGTTTGTATACGACAATTTAATTAAATTCTCAATCCCAAACCTGTTTGCAGACGTTAAATCTAAATGAAAATTTTCTTGAACATTCTTTAATCAAGCGTTATATCAAAAAGCGTTTTATTGACTCCGAAGAACCAGTTCATGTTACGTTGCAATTTTGGTTACTGATAAATTCGATTATTTGTTAGAGAATTTATCTTTAAGATCCTTATCAATAATATCAGTCTTTTAGAAATTATATTCATTTATTTCTTGTTTTGTGACAAATGTATAAAAACTACGTTTATATACTTGAAAATACATTCCGTAAAGCAGCGGTGTTTGTGGCGTAATCGGTAACGCGTTGGACTGACGTTCTCCAGATCGTGAGTTCGATCCCCAGCGTGGGTGCTAATTACATTTTCTCTAGAAAAGACAGCCGTGCACTATTTCGGCATAGTATGCTTACGCTATATAAATCCTTAGAACACTATGCGAAAATAGTTGGGTATTGATTATAAAGAGACAAACTGACAGGAAGCATAATAATATTTCATATCACTAAAGCTGGTTTAAGCCAGCTTCATACTATAAAAAATAAGAAGAATGATTAAATATTTGACTTTTGTTTTTTCCTATTTATTTGTATGAAGATATTTTTCCCAATTTCAACCAAATATCGCTATTTTTCCCAATCTTGACGGCCCCGGCC